TAATTTCAAGCTTTCCGGTAATCCATCTAGAGTTTGAGGTCGTTTATCTCGTTGACGTTTACTCCGGGCGTTGTTTTGTGGAGTTAGGCGACCCATGTGACTAACCCATGCAGAACCCATTCTTTCTTCAATACAGAGTACTTTCTAAATACTTTAAGTCGAGTGATGCAATTTCACTGCAGGGAGTTAATTGGTGATGTTATAGTAGGGAATTGGAATATGATCTCCTTCTTAATTGAAGTTTCTTATATCCGTGATGGTAAAGACGATGACCTTGAGAGGAGGACCTAGAGGAGCAGCAATGGAAATACTGTTGGAAGACACAAGTGCCCCGGCGGTTTCGATATCCACCGGTGAACAATCTTTCCCATCTTTCACACCAGCGGTACCAACCGCCTTGCGTCGAGTGGCAGCTTTTCGTTGAAGAAATGAGAGGATATTAGTATTAAAGCTTATTTACCCGGTAATACTAAGATTCTCTTCTAATACTTTATATATCTTATACTAAAAGTCTGCAGATACTATTTGAATCATATCGAATAGCGCTCTGGGTGTGTTGTTTAGTTTGGTTGCGATTCTTACTTGCAGACTGACTGATATCTCTGGTATGTTGGGTTGCTGTGGGGCGGATGGGGGAAATGGAACATCTATTTTCCGCCACGAGCATTCGAATGAAACTGATGACTAACGAACTAACGATGAGGCTGGGAATATGACTGCGATAAGATAATCTCAAGCAGATAAGATAAGAAATGATAACGCGATAGGCAATGCATTTTAAGATATAACCGCAGGGTAGTTAGGTAAAGCATTATAACGTGTTTAATAAGTGAGGGCAACAGACAAGCGAGTGTAGTAAAAATCCCTTAACCTATAACATTTCTATCTAATCAGATACTTCTTAACTACCTAGTATACCAAAATCTTTACATAAAGCTAGAATTCTTCTTATCTCCTTAACAGTCATAAGGCACAAATACTTCGCCGACCCACTCTAGATTAGTCATAGTATCAGTACTTCAAAACTTTCTCCACTAAAAACTCTATGACGTTCATTTTAACGAAGAAACAAGAGCGTTGCCTAGGATGTCAGGGCATTCAAATTGGCCCTCGATCCCGCAGCTCTCAAAGAGGCCGAAGAAGACGGGCTCCGTTAATTGAGGCATCTGACGATAGCCTCAACCGTAGGGCCACCCCCAGAAAGGCCGGCAGCAGTACGCAGTGGGGTTGTGACTGTTGTGATGTGGCTATTTGTAAACGGCCTGAATGTTGGTACTTCTATCACAGGCAAGAAATGCCTGCGAAGGAAGTACCGTAATTTTACTAGATTATGATTGGATGATATCCCTGTCGATCCCTTGCACGCGATGTATTTGTGCCTTATGACTGTCAAGGAGGTACTAAAATAAAAGTAGACTGTTGTTTCTATTCCCTGTCCCAACACTTTACCCGGCCCTTCAACTGCACGATAGTAATCATTGAGCTCCGAAGATGCCTCTTCTGAAGTTAGTAGGTCAACGACTGCGACGGCAATGTAGTCACCAATAGCCGTGAGGACGTGCCACCTGTTTCCCATTAATATCAAGCCAGCCAGTTCAAGAGCAGCGCTGCATTTTTGTGAGCATCGAAATGCAAGCGGTTCACAGTGCGGCAGCCACGATAACTCGCCTCAGCGACTTAGTAATCAGGTTTTGCCAAGTTAAGATGCTTCTGAGCGATCCGACTTGCCGGGAATAGAGACTCATGGGGACTCCGGGGCCACGCATCAGCTCCCGCAGTTTTAGGGCAGTCTTGCAATTTTGGGAATAACTTAGCTTGCTAAGTTGGCTCTCCCGGGAGCTAAGCGACCTATAAGCCAATAGGTATACCTTTTTTTTTTTTTTTTTTTTTGAGACACCCTACTGAAAAGTCCGGGGTGTTGTGGGTACATGCTATCCTTGTGAAGCGGCTTCGATCTTGCACTTTTCTGTGGAAACAACACATAACTCCAACATCATAATGCAGCACAGAAGTTTCTGCTGCCTCGGATCCCTGCTCCCTGTGGCCGCTTCCCAATGTCTCGTCGCCCTTGCTTGAGTGCCGATCCCTTAATGACACTCGGAATATGTGCCGATGTTGTGACGAAGCTGGCTAAGCAGCGGTCTAGGTGGCTTTCAGGATGCCACGCTCCTCTCCCTTTGAGCCCAGCGTCCTGGGAACGATGTGGAAGGGCGCACTGGATCTCGGCTCAAGAACAGCCATCTTGCCTCATCGTGCGTACCTTGTTCTCCTCTTCCGGCGTCCACTTCCCACCGGATGACCTTGTCGCCGAAAGCGAAGCCTTAGGGGGCTCTCTGCCCTCCTTAGAATGTGATGTGGATCTGTCAGTATGCGGCTGACTTGGATCAGGGGTCCATTCAAATTGCAGTTGAAACGCCGTCTTGTCGCCCTCGGTGATGCGCTTCAAAGAAACGTTTTTGAGAGGCCATTCCTCGAATCGAGCAAAAGTGCCAGCGTCGGAGGGGACCGAACTTGTTTGTGATGGTGCTGGACTCTCACTGTATTGTACCGTACTTTATGAGCCTTTGCTAAGGACACAGTCTATCGGACATAAAGGGAAGCAAGCGTGCCTTGCTAAAAACGTATCTCAAGAATCGAACATCATCGATTGGGCATAAACTCATGTTCCGCTTAATAAGATAGTAAGAACTGATAGTTCTCCCCTCCTAGTATATCTGTAACAATAAGTTTAGTTTTACAGTAGCTGGTGGCCATAGCGTAGGTTAACGTCATCGAATTGAAGCATGACCAGACGTTGGACGACACCTAGTGAGTTTTCTTATATTGTATATTAATGACTGGTCTATATCTACTCTTTATTATACTTATAGGCCCTGTTTTTTAACTATTTGGCGGTGCCTTTCTTTTTACTATTACCTTTATTGCACTTACTTTAGTAACTGTAAAGTAATACTATAGACTTTTTAAATATAGTTTTAGAAGTGATTTATATATTAAAATTTAAGCTTTTAATATTTAAGATATTTATATAATATTTTCTTACTGCTTTATTTAGCTTATTTATATTTAGTTAAATGCTAATTATTAAAATAGTTATTTATAACAGTTAGATAGTAATATATAAAGATATACTTTTTATAGGAGAGTTACTTATTATTAATATAATTAAGGTATTATATAATATATAGAAGTAGAGAGAATTAATTAAGGCTAGGTAATATTTTATATTTTACTTTAAGAGGCTTAATCTTTATAGATAGATAGGCTTTAACTCTCTCTTAAATATAATTATACTTAATTATCTCTCTTTTATTATAAAGAGCTACTATAAGATTAATGGTTTTAATCTTAAGCTAAAAGATTTAATCTTTAGTTAAGTTATTAGGCTAGTAATAGAGAACTTTTACTAATTTAATACACTTTAAGATAATAATATTAATAATAGGCTTTAAGAACTCTTTCTTTTTTTCTCTTTAGGCTTATCTTTTAATATCTTAGGTAGGATAGTTATAAAAGTAAATTAATATTAACTTCTATAACAGTTAGTTCCTAACTGTAGATAAACTAAGCCATATTAGGTTTATTATTAGCAGATTATATAAGGCATAATATTAAGTAGTTATTAAAATGTTATATCTCTTAATAGTAGATTTAATATATATTAGGCTTAATTAATATAAAGAAGCTTTATTAATAGCTAGTAAATTAAAATCTATAAATGTGTAAATAAATATATTCTATATACTAAAGTATTTTCTAATAAGGCTAACTGTAAGTAAGGTTATTATTAGTTTTAGTGTAATATACTTTTAGACTGTTATTAGTTTAATATTAATTAGTCTTATATTAAATTAGTCTATTATTAAATATACCTTTTAATAGTTAGTTTAGGCAGTTATATTCTTATTAGGTAAATTTTATAGATCCCTTATATATACATAACGTAAACGCTAGGGTCATAATATTAACCTGCTTGCTTAAAGTATGCCTTACCTAGCTTGGTATAGTTACTTCCTAATTAGTTCTAGTCAAGCATCGATCTTAATAATGGATTATATATAAGCTACTAAGGAGACCTAACTCTCCTATACAAGCTGCCATACATTTCAATCTATCGGATTCATACTATCCTAATTTATATATGCCCTGTTGTTTGCCCTAACTCATGGCATTGTAACACCCAGTCTAAGCCTCCTCAACGATGTCACCTTGTTTGCCGTTCCTCCACAGGTTCACTAAGAACTGAGACTCATATCCTGCACCTGTGTGTAGCCTATGCCGCCCAACGTTGTAATTTACCAGATGCTCGTTCACGCCATCAAAATCTTGCAGAATTTGAACTCTGCCCGCAAACTCGAGCCTCATTGATTCCCCAGCATCAAAGATAATACCTCCAGGCCAGAGACTAATCTCAAGCTCGACAACTTGGTCGCGGCGTAATGGTTGTGTTGCTGTATGCGGATGGTACACGTACGCGGGTCCCATCAGTTTCTCGTATCCATCTGGGCTAAGGTCCGGAAGCGACTCATAGGTGACGGCGCGATGCGATGCACGAAGACGGCCGTTGGGTCCGATGTAGCGCCTGTACAAAATTAGTTGTTGCCAGAGGCTATTGATAAGCTGAAGTATGGTTAAAACTTACCAGACGTTATGGTTCGGAATATCGGCCTCTGTTGTGCCCTTTGGAAGGTCTTCCATGGGAATGTTCTTATGCCACAGTTCTTTGCCGTTGTTGTCGAGCTTACGTAGCACGACGTAGACGTCCTGAGACAGTTAGTTTAAGATTGAATATTATGATGTACGCCCCTAAAGAAAAGACTTACCATATCGTCATGATCAGGTGTTGACATGTATACTTTGGCCTTCGAGATACCACACAGCTCGGTGTACTCCTCGAAGGTGTAGACGAACGAGCATCCGTTGTCAGAAGGCGAATCCGCTTGGTACTCAATCACGCCCTCAGCTGACGGTTTATCGTACCCTAGAGTTCCGCTGGTCGCATCGAGAAACAAGGTTTCGTACTTGAACTTTGCTGGTGGATACTGATTAGCCGGCAAGTGGATCACGCTTGGACGATTGTAGCCCAGAAGTGAGTATCGGACGCGAGGTGTATGTTCCCAGTTATTGTCTTTGTCGAGCATGTACTTGTCGAAGAATCGCTGCAAGTCGTCATTATTCTCTGGCCGGTAAAGGTCGTGCCATTCCTGGGTTACAATCCAGCGCAACCTATTATGATGTTTCATCAATCTAGGTAGATAATGAGCTTCACCCTAACAGTAGACGTACCATTTCTCAGATGACCGAGAGAGCTGAAATCCTCTGAGTGATCCTTCGGTATGTAGCCTGGTTGAGAAGCTGGCAGTGGCATACATCGGAGTAATGATGTTTCGAAGCTTCGGCTTTTTGTCCTCCCAATAATCGTTCCAAGTTCCATACTTTTCTACCATCTTACCGGCATCCTCACGCTTCCCTGGTCCTAAGGGGATATGTAACGTCAGAGAGGGCTCTCGAACAGCCCCCAGATAGAGAGAGAAGATAACACTTACCGCACGTCCAGTCCATCAATAAATCCCAGAATGCATGGTCGGGAATGCCACCACGACAGATAGACTCCCTGTAGTAGTCTCCAAGCCCCTCCCAAGGTGCCATGCAAGCCAGATGAGGAGGTTGTTCAGCAGCGATGAACCATTGCGTTGTCCCAAGCCATGAGTTCCCGGCCATGGAGACCCTCTTATTGCACCAAGCTTGCTGCGCGATCCACTCGATACAGTCGTAACCATCACGGCCTTCTTGAGTCCCATACACATAGAGATCACCACCGGATTTGAAAGACCCCCGAGCGTCGATGTTGACAACCGCGTAACCGCGGGCAGTCCACTCAGCAGGGTCAGGAGCCTCCCACTTTTCCAGACCACTTGTCTCAGAGCGAGGCACGCCGACTCTCCACGGAAACATATCGAGTTGCTGGATACCGGTTCCTGTCTTGCCATAATGGCTCCAGGGCATAATAGCTGGGACAGGTTTGTGGTCGGATGTGAGTGGACGAAAAACGTCAGCTAAGAGCTCGACACCATCTCGGAGTGGAATACGGATATCCTTCTCCCAGACTGTATCGACTGTAAATGCCTTCCGACCCTCTTCTTTGGCCCATCCTTTGGCAAGGGTTCTCCTCTCAGGGGCTCCATATTCAATCCAGGTGTTCTTTGGCTCATGGTCGAGCTCGGTAAATATAACAGGTACAGAGAAGGTCTGTGAGGTTTGTGCCATTTTGTCTGGCTTTTCGGATGTCAAGATGAATTCAATATGAATGAAGAATAAAAGCCTCAAGATGGACGACTATATATTACCGTTCAACTCCCTCCTCATACCATCCCACACTGAACCTCAAACCAGGCAACATGTTCAGTGCGGTGTACATGTCCGCGTGCTTCTGCCCTCAATTCCGGATTATCAATCCATCATTTAATAATGGTATCCTTTATCTATTTCAGGAAATGATAGACATCACCTTGAACTAAAAGAGTTAGAGTTCTTACGTGTTCTTCCCGGGGTTCGCCAACTTGTCGCCCGAGGTCCCGAGCAAGGTTCTTATAACTAATTCACTATATACATACCTGTGCGGCCTGAACAGGCTACCTGGTAGAGGTACCTTAGTCTAACAGCGCAGAATGTGGCATCCGAAAGGCAGTGCCATGAGGTTCTTGCAACCGGGTGGTCTTTTTCCAAATTTCTCCAAACACGCAGTAATTTCATGCTTCAGTACCTCTACTCGCCCTTTTGTCAACAGCAGAGCGGAATAAACACAGACTTCGTACCATCGTGAGTCAAAACAAGTCAATGGAGGTTAGTATACCTTGCTGCAGTGCCTTCCGCCTCGTACTCAATGCTACTCCGGAATCTGTACCCTGCATCCGACACTTTACCCGGGACGGGGTTACCGGGACGGGGTTACCGGGTCGGCTCGGGGAACTGTGGATACTGTGAGTGGACGGACATAGATAACGCCCGCTATCGATACCGATGAAATTATAACATAACTGTATCTCTCTAAAACTTTCACCTGGCCCGACCATGGATTGATAAACCTTAGGGTAGGAGGCGGGTTACAGTATTGGATATCTAGAGGCATTAAGAGTGGATGTTAAAAATATAATTTCTACCTATGAAGAATCTTTTTGCAGCGATTTAGAGTTACTAGGGCTGGCAAATAATATATATTAATTGCTACTGGAATCCAGGTGAATTGCAAACATTCAAGTGGTAAATATAGGTCCAAAATAATGCTAAGGCAATAATTGTTTTTGCCTAACTCTAATAGATTGTAAAGATATAATAATAAGCCTTTATCTAATATAGTAAAATCGCCAATATGTAGATAAGAGTTATTTAGAGTAGGAAAGAGAGAAAAGTGCCAGGGCCCTTGACGTTAGTCTCTAACCCTTAATTTGGTTGAGTATTTAATAAGAAGATTGCTGATATTAACAGCAGTGCCGACACTAAAAAGTCCTAGAAACCTTTACTAAGACGTAATATCTAAATGATAAAGTTTATTATAGACCTTAACAATTTAGTAGGAATTAGTAAGATTAAACTAGGCAAGTCGATTAACTGACACTCCCTACATAGACTATAGGCGGCTGCAGTAATAAAAATGTGTTAATAGCCATGGTTGCTCTAAAATAAAAGGCTAGAATAAATAACTTAACCGTAATTAAAGATATAGGATTAGATACTGCCTATTTATATACTTATACAGGCCGTAGTAATAGGGTTATGCTGCTGCAATTCTTTACAGTTACTTTAGCGTATTTTACTAATCAGTTATATAGAGAATAGTTATAAGAAATATATTTATATTACGATATAGAAATTAGATATACTTTTTTATTTAATACCTACTAATTTAAGCCGCAAAGATGACTTTTATAAGGAATTATTACTTATATTACAGCTTCTATTTCTAGGTATTAAAAGGAAGGTCAGTATCTAAAAGTAATAAAGGTTAATTTTTTTTTTTTCCCTTACTATTAGCCTTATAAGGCTATTAAGCTTCTAACTTTATATATAAAGGCTTAAATAATAAGGCCCCTATAGTAGGCCTATATCTTAAAGGTTAAAATTATATAAGGTTTATCTGCCTTAATGGCATAATTACTGCCTTAATTAAGCAGTATTAATACCACTTACCTTTTAGCAGCTATATTAGCCTTTTTCCTTTACCCTACCTAAAAGATCTTAAATTAATCTTTTTAATATACCAGGCTAAATCTATTATAAAGTATATTCCCTAACCTAACTATTAGTTACAGTTACTAATATTAATTATAGC